GAGTCTGGAATGAGGAAGGGGGGAGGTGTAGTCGGTGTGGTCAGTGCCTTAAATTAGATGGGGAGATGGTGGGTGGAGAAGAGCCCACGGTGGACTTCTTCCCTCCATGTGTTCTCTCTAGGTTGGCTTGGCAGATGTGCTCACCTGCTCCTCAAAAACTCCATTTCATGGGAACCAATGAGTCTAATGCAATGCAATTCAATAAGCATATGATTCTGGCTCCTTTCACTGGGGAGCCAGGAGTCTTTCCAATACCTGCTGAGAGGTGGTGTGAAGTGGAGCTGTTCTTGCTCATAGTGGAGATAGAAGTCAGGCAGCGAGTGGATGGGTCACTCTCCCTGATCTGCCAGCCCCCATTCATTCTCCGCCTGCCCCCATTCATTCCCTGATCTGCCAGCCCCCATTCGTTCTCTGCCTGCCTTCTCCACACCTTGGAAGCCTGCCTCTGTATCACTTAGCTGCCCTTCGGCTTGGTCTGTAAAGAGTCAGAGGGTCAGGATTTTTGGATTTTCAGGCCAAGAGGCAACATTATATAGATACTTACATAACCATTAACAAATGTAAAAACCACTCTTTGTTTGCAGGTCATATAAAAACAGGTGGTGGGGTGGATTTAGATTGTCGACTAAAGAAACAGTTCCTGTTGAGTAGTCTCTTTGCAGGGTGCAGCTGTGCCCAGAACCCAGTAACACCATTTCCCCACGTGCTTTTTAAATATAATAGCTCTTGCTGTTGCCAGCTCCTGGTGCCTCACCATCCCTGTGGGTTCCCTTAGGTCTGCCTACACCTCTGTTAGTTCAATTCCTTCCAGTGTGCTTTCTGCCTCCTATCAGGACCATGGTGAGTTCAGGGAGAGAGTTCAGGAAGGGGTAGCACAGTTTATGGTACCACATAAGGCTAAATGTTTTGTCCAAGGCCAAGCAAATGTCCTTAGGCATTCTGGCTAGCATGGGACTCATTGTGGATTATACATCTTGTAAAATAGTACGAAACCTGAGATTCCAGAAGCAAGCCTGCCTTATTTCTGGACAAAGAGCACACATGATTACTTTTGAATTTCTTTCTATGCCTCCATTCTCCTTGCTGCATCTAAAACAACCTCTTTTTCTCTTCTTTCCTCAGAGAGATGGCATGAAGAATGTCACTTTCCTGGACAGAGTGTACCAAAATGGTCTGTGTGTTTTGACTGGCTGGATGCTCCGGGGAGTGGTTTCATAATTATGGCTCATGCCTCAGCTCTTTAATAAGAGATGAGCCAGGTACAGCACTGTTTACTGGGGATTCAAAGTGTACCTGGTGCCTGCAGGGGGTCAAATATGGTGGAGAGAAGGCTCATAAACATGAGTAATCACACCAACGGCTATGTATGCATTTCCTCTACAGTAGAAGGAGCTGAGTAAGCATTAGCATTAGCTGTTGCACCAGGCAGACGGAGGACTCATGCTCTGTGCGTCCTAATGAGGGAGTCCTGCTGAGGAGCTCTGCGAGTCCACCAGCATCCTAGGTCATTTCCATCTGGCCTTTTAGCTGACTTCAAGACACTCAGATCCCCAACTACTTAACATTAATTCAGCAGTTGTGCTTGTGGTCAAAATGGAACCAGTGTGAACTTTAATGTGGCTCTCCTTGCTGAGATGCCTGAAAAATCACTGCAGTGCAATCATGCTCTCTTTGCCTATTTTAACAGTCCAGGCACCACAGTCCCTGCCCTCCAAGAACTTCCTATGGAATGCTGGCTGGAACCTTTGGTGACAACCTTTTTTTTTTTTTTTTTGTTTTAAGACAGAGTCTTGCCCTGTCACCCAGGCAATGGCGTGATCTTGGCTCACTGCAACCTCAGCCTCCTTCCTGGGTTTAAACAATTCTCCTGCCTCAGCCTCCCATGCAGCTGAGATTACAGGCACCTGCCACCACACCCAGCTAATTTTTGTATTTTTAGTAGAGACAGTGTTTCACCATGTTGACCAGGCTGATCTCGAACTCCTTACTTCGTGGTCTGCCTGCCTCTGCCTCCCAAAGTGCTGGGATTACGGTCATAAGACACTGTGCCTGGCGGGTGACAACTTCTTAACTGAGCTTGTTAACACTCAGATGGCTGGGCCCCACTTCCAGAGTTTTTGATTTAGTAGATCTTGGATAAGGCCCAAGAATGTGCATTTCTTTCTTTCTTTTTTTTTTTTGAGACAGAGTTTCACTCTTGTTACCCAGGCTGGAGTGCAATGGCACAATATCGGCTCACTGCAACCTCCGCCTCCTGGGTTCAGGCAATTCTCCTGCCTCAGCCTCCTGAGTAGCTGGGATTACAGGCAAGTGCCACCGTGCCCAGCTAATTTTTTGTATTTTTAGTAGAGACGGGGTTTCACCATGTTGACCAGGATGGTCTTGATCTCTTGACCTTCTGATCCACCCGCCTCGGCCTCCCATAGTGCTGGGATTACAGGCGTGAGCCACCGCGCCCAGCCAAGAATGTGCATTTCTAACAAGTTCTTGGGTGATGCTGATGCTGCTGGTCCAGGGACCACCTTTGAGAGCCAGTGCTTTAATACAGAGACTGAGAGGAAGCTCAAGAGCCAGGACTGCGGATGAAGTGATAATTGGAGCAATAGAGGCGTATTGCTTAGTCAGTCTGGAAGTGAAATTAGAAAAGGGAGGCAATGTGAACAAAGGGAGTTTCACTTGATGGGAAAAAGTGGGTGAGTGGTGATAGCCAGGGTGCTTTTGGAGCCTTTTGTGAGATTCTGAGTTGACCTGGGAATCTGTATTTTTTTAAAGCACTCCCAGGTGGTTCTGATACTCACCTAGGTTTGAAATCCTCTGTATATGCAACATCCTACAGTGCCTGGCACACAGTAGTTGCACAACAAATACTCATTGAATTGATGCTATTTCCAAGTGAGTGTTGGGAGTGCCTAATGTATTAGCCCATGTAGTTATTTATTTCATCAAATTCAGTCCCAAACCACCACTTAATAGAGAGTGTTCAAATACAATTAATGTTCTCTCAACGTCCAAGATTATAGAAACAAAAACCTGGCGGTAACCAAAGATGTGGTGTTAGTCACAAGGTACAGATTCCTGAGGACGGCATAACAGAAAATCCCCTTTCTTCTTCATGGCTGAGAATCCACTTGGCTCCTTCCTGTCTGTACACGCATGCACGCCACTGCATGTTCTTCATTAGAAAATAATTAGAAGCAAACAGCTGTTAGTCAAGCGAGCTGCGTTTTGCCCACATCTTTCCAGAGTTCAAGCCATTACCCCAGGGGGCAGGCTTATCCTAAAAAAAGAATCTCACTGCTTTAAACACGGCAAACCAAAATAGAAATGCGTGACAATTCAGGTGAGCCTGAGCTAGCTCAGCTGAGGAAACTAGTAATGTTTCGCTAGACTGCCTGAAATGCTACTTCTTTTGATTTTGGAGGAGAAGGGCTGCTCCAAAATTAGCAAATTAACTCAGTAAATGATGAAAATAATCTTTGCTGCCATTGAAGAGGGGTAAGGCTGTGTGTGTGTGTGTGTGTGTCTGTGGCTGTGTCTGTGTCTGTGTGTGTGTCTGTGTCTGTGTCTGTGGCTGTGTCTGTGGCTGTGTCTGTGTCTGTGGCTGTGTCTGTGTCTGTGGCTGTGGCTGTGTCTGTGTCTGTGTATGGATGGTGACGGGAGCTGGCTCTATTGAGTCTTTCACTTGAGGCGTTAGAATTGGCTCAGTTTTGTTTGCAGCATGAAACTGGAGTCTGTAGCCCTGAGTTGGGGGCCTTGGGTTCCAGACCTCAGCAGGACAAGGACTTTGCCTGTATTGGTAGATCAGAGAGTGGGGACAGATTATGTCTAGAGTCTTCTCAGCTGTAATTTTCCAGTGCTCTCTGACAAGTGGCATAATGCAGATATTTACGGGCAAGGCTAAAGAGTGAGGATGTTAACTGAATCATGTCAATTCAAAACCATTTGCACCAAGAAGAATAGAAAAGAGGCCCTTAGGCTGGGCACGGTGGCTCAGGCCTGTAATCCTAGCACTTTGGGAGGCCAACGTAGGCAGATTGTTTTAGCTCAGGAGTGCAAGACAAGCCTGAGCAACATGACGAAACCCTGTCTCTCAAAAAAATAAAAAAATAAAAAAAAACAAAAATGAGCTGGGTGTGGTGGTGCATGCCTGTAGTCCTAGCTACTTAGGGGGCTGAGGCCAGGAGGATGACTTGAGCCTGGGAGGTCGAGGCTGCAGTGAGCAGAGATCACAACACCCGCTTCCAGCCTGGGTGACAGAGTGAGAACCTGTCTCAAAAAACAAACAAGCAAACAAACAAACAAGCAAACAAACAAAAAAGAGGCCTTTAGGAAGCATTAACTGCCTCCTATGGCTTATACTTCCCAATAAGCCAAAGGATTTTAAGCTCTGGAGGTGTGAAGGAAAGAGAGATGGTGGAGAAAAAAGATTTGCTCACAACCAGGAAGTGTGAGTCCTAGATCCGTGGCCAACGAGATTTGCTGGTGAGCCCTGACACACTGGCAGGAAGATCAAATAAAAGGGAATGGGCTTATGTTATGGCCAAAGGAGTAGAGATTAGCATCAAGGAGAATGCTGCTATTTTTCTTAGATAGTGGATTGTCTACTAAGTGAAGTTGTGAATGCTGTGGGAATTTATGGTCACTCTCTGCAGTTACTACCCAAATTACTTGATTCATAGTCCATGCTTATTCCATTAATTTGCCATGGTGATTTTTTTTTCTTTGTGATCTATCACCCAGGCTGGAGTGCAGTGGCATCATCTCAGCTCACTGCAACCTCCACCTCCTGGGTTCAAGTGATTCTCCTGCCTCAGCCTCCTGAATAGCTGGAATTACAGGTGCGTGCCACCACACCTGGCTAATTTTTGTATTTTTAGTAGAGATGGGATTTCACTATGTTGGTCAAGCTGGTCTTGAACTCCTGACCTTGTGATCCACCTGCCTCAACCTCCCAAAGTGCTGGGATTACAGGCGTGAGCCACCTGGCCCCATTTATTAAAAAAAATATGGAACACTTCATGAATTTGCATGTCATCCTTGCCCAGAGGTTATGATAATCTTCTCTATATTGTTTCAATTTTAGTATATATGCTGCCGAAGTGAGCACCATGGTGATTTTTTAAAAGCCTAGTTTTTAACCCAGATTAAGTGGAAATTGACAAAGTAATTATTTGTATTTTCAAGTCCATAATTTTAGATAATTGTTCCACTGTGATAAGCTGGATTTTGGGTTGGGATTTTATCATGTGGAAAGATTTTGATTCTTCCCTATTTAAGTGTTTTATCAGGACTGATGATAGATAGATCTTTGAGTAGAGAGAGACACACCTTGATTGGAGAGTACCACTTCCGGGGGGAAGAAGGCCGACGCATATTGTTGTTGAGATTTCGAGGCTCAGGGAATTCATATTCCTGCTCCGGCATCTTGACTCTTGCATTCTTTGCCTTTTCTAATTTAGCGCCTTCTTCTGTGGAGCCCTTTTCTCCCCAACGAACCTAAAATAAATAAAATACAATGAAACAAAATGACAAAATATGCTGCCCCTCAAGAATGAGAATGACAAATACGTGAATGACTTGCAATATGAGTGCTACCCAACCCTGGATTCCTCTGGGTTTTGAGGGCCAGAGAAGAGGAAAACTGTGGAAAAAGAGAAAAGGGGAGGACTGAAGGAATAGAGGGAACAGAGAGCGTGAGCCACATGGATGGATATTTAGGAAGGGATTGTCCAGGCAGCAGGCACAGCACTTGGAAAGACCTTGTAGGTCCAGGTAAGAACTTCTCATTTTATTTAAGTGAGAAAAGAAATCATGAGGAGGTTTGAGCCGGTGTGTGACCTGCTCTGACTCATGGTGGGTAAGACATGGGAGTGCACAGTTAAAAGGCTGTCCCTCCCATCTCTCCATCTTTCTGCCTTACAATCCATATCCCCACCAGACCTCAAGCAGGTTTTCAGCAATTTGCTTTGGGTTTCTGACACTGAGTGGTCAGCATGGTCTATGGCCATACCGCCCTGAGCATGCCTGATCTCTAGAGGCTAAGTAGGGTTGTGCCCGGCTGGTACTTGGATGGGAGTAGTCGGTACATAGATAAGTGTACATTAAGCTTTCCTCTTACCTCCATCCTTTTAATGCCTCCAACACCTCTCCCACCATAATAAGAGGCGTCTACCGTTGGCCACTTTTTCTTAGGCAGACCATCATCATCTTCTTCCTGCAGAGAAATTGTGGCACATGAAGGAAGCAAAACAGCACTGTTGTGTGGACCTGCCTACTATGGCCAAGTGATTAGGAGTAGAGCTTGTAGAGGCAGATTACCTGGGTGCAATCCCAGTGCTACTGTTTCCTGAGACCTTGAGCCAGTCACTGAAACCACCTAAGCTTGTTTTCCTGATGTGTAGAGTGGGGATGTAAGCAGTGCTACCTGGTAGGTTTGTGGTACAGTCCTCTTCTCTTGTTCTCTTCTACAGCTCTGCTCCTTTGTGGGAATCGCATCTAACCCCACCTGTATGTGCTGGTGACTTGTGAATTTACATCTTCAGCCCTGATGCCTCTGAGTTCCAACTGCTCACTTGACATTCACATTATTTGGGGGCTAAAAACCATCTCAATACCATGGCAGAGAGTCCTGACTTCCCCACCCTAAATGTGCTCCTCCTGTAGTCTTCCCCACTGCCTAGAAGTCACTCTCTCTTCCTTACTGCCTTTCCCCTACTCATCCCCTACTCAACTTGCCAGCTAGTTCTGTTGCTACTACTTAAATATCTAAAATCTGTTGACTTCTCCATCCCTACCACTACCACGCTGTGCCCACGCCCCCATGCACTTGCTTCTGGACACCGTGGTAGCTTCCCAAGTGGCCTCCTGCTGCCCTCAGACTCACCTACGATCTGTTCTTCATAAAGCAGCAGAGCAAGCACAAACGCCAGCTCTGCCTTGTGTGTCCTGGCCTTGGCCCACCTTTCTGGACTTCTTTCTTATTACAGCCCCTCCTCCTGAGCTCCAGCCTGCCTGCGCTCTCTCTGTTCCTCAAATACTCTGAGAAAATTTCTGTCTTGGGGTACACAGTGTCCCCTTGTCCAGGAATGTACCGTCCCCACACCATCTTCTGATAGATGGATTTTCATATCGCTCCTCAGAGAAGCCTCCCCTGGAGATTCTTGTAAAGTAGCTGCAGTCTCTCCATGCCATCAATCTGTTTTATTTTTAGTTAAGGATCTCATCATGGCTTGATATTAATATGTGTCTCTCCACACTAGAACTCATGTACCACAGAGGCTTTTGTTTATTTGTCATGCTTACAATTGTATTCCCAGTTTTTAGAATAGCACTACTTAGTATGTGGTGGGCGCCCAAGAATTATCTGTTGAATTTACAAATAAGTTAAATGAGACACCTCAAATAAAGCAGTTAACTCAGTGTCTGCAACTTAGCTCAGTGACAAGAAGTTAGTGTTTCTGTTTTTTAAAATGAAGAAAGAAGGCAAGGGGAACTTGTAATTTTATGGATAGAAAAAGGGAGGAGATGTAGCAACTACTCTTCATCTTGGTACTGTAATTATTCTTGTTGTAGGGAGAAAAAATATCACCTTTTACAGCCATGGATGGATTATAAGGAAGTGGCATGATTTCTCTCCTGGGTAGAGAGAAACTGGAAAAGGGGTTGATTTGGCAGAGGAATGAGCCAAAGAGAGAGAAATTGCTCACAATGCCAAAATCTGCTTCTCACAGCCTTGTTTTGGTGGCATTTGGGTGAAGTCCTATGCAGGGCACCACTGTGTGGGATGGGGGACCCTGCGCAGTAGGCAAGGTACAAAGAAGCAAAGACAGGGAGGACGGACAAAAGGTGACAAGACAAAGCAGGAGCATGTTGGGACATTAAGACTCCCTGAGTTACATGGTGTGCTTGGGATGTGTAGGCTTCATTAAAATGATTTTTTAAAAATTGAATACATCTTAAAGGACAGAGAGATCATAGCAGACTAGGACATATGACATTCTGACAGCTGACGCTTGGGTCTTTCTCTCTCTCTGTCTCTCTCACTTAGTTGCTCTCTCAGATTCTGCTGATGCTTGTATTCTAAGTGCAGGATAGGTGCTCAATAAACACATACTGCATTCATGATAACACACCATTGAATTTATGCAGCCTTTCCCATGTTATGTGCCAGTCACTCTTCTAAGTGCTTTACATGTATTGTTAATCCTTTAATCTTGCAACCAGCCAGGAAGGTATGTGATGTTATTACTCCTGTGTTACAGAACGAGAATAGAGAGGTTAAATGACTTAGGTCAGCAGCTTGCATGTGGCAGAGCTGGATCTGAACTCACGCAACCTCATTCTCTTTGATTGTTTCTCAGTCTGGATTTTGTTCTTTTGTGGTTTGCTTTTCCAGTCATTTGATGGCAACAAATACATGCTCATTTTTGACTTCTCACTCCTTGTACCTGCTAATTTTGATGATTTTTTTTTTTTTTTTTTGAGAAAGAGTCTCCCTCTCTCACCCAGGCTGGAGTGCAGCCTGAACCACCCCAGCTTCAGCAATTCTCTCGCCTCAGCCTCCCTGAGTAGCTGGGACTACAGACGCATACCAACGTGCCCAGCTAATTTTTCTATTTTTTGTAGAGATGGGGTTTTGCCACGTTGCCCAGGCTGCTCACAAACTCCTGGGCTCAAGTGATTCTCCCACCTCAGCCTCCCAATGTGCTGGGATTACAGGCATGAGCCACCGCAACTGGCCTTAATTTTGATAATTTACAACTGCAAAATATGACAAAATAAAGTTGCCAATGCAATAAAATATTATAGATCATATTATTTTACCTTATACTTTCAAAGGTTTCTTTCACCTTAGGATGTGAAAGCAGGAATCTTATATACCCTATATGTGGGTAAACTTTACGCTGGAGGTGGATGTATGTCTCTGTGTGTCTGTGAACATAGATACACAAAATATGGCTCTGAAAGCCTGGGCATTCTTGGTCTGGGCAGTTTTCCAAAGGAGGTAACAGAAATTCTATCCCCTAAAACTGAACACAGCAGCACTACGAGCGTTAAGAAACTCCAAGAATTAAGCCGCTTTATTCCATAGGGGACTGAACTAGGTTCATTGGCTTCCTAATTATTTTAGAAGCTCGTCTATTTAAGCTTTTCACTGCACAGAAGAGGAGTCAGATCTAGAGAAATGAAGTGACTCCTGAAGGTGAAGTTCTGGTGTGGTTTTCTGAGGCCTTGCCCAGGGATTTTTCTCCCCCTTTATTTTGTGAAAAGAACTTAAAGAAGACTTTACAATTGGCTTTCTGTAATTAGCAACCCCCTGAGTACTGAGGATATAGTAAGACGCACAAAGATGGTTTCCGCCGCTTTCCAGGCTCCCTTGTACACCCGGACAACCCTCCCTCTAGTCCTCGTCCTCCCTCTACACCCTGATCCTGCCCTCTAGTCCCTGGCCCCTCCCTCTAGTCTCTGGCTCCTCCCTCTTGTCCCTGGGCTGGAGATGGAGACGTCACCACCCCCTTGCATATGGGCAGGACCTGGTCTTCTCGGAAACAGGAAATGCTTAGGGCTTGGGCAATCTCCATAAGCTGCTGCGCCACTGAGCCCGTCGCTTAAACCCCTGACCAGAGCTGGCCTGCCAAGCTCAGACAACAGCACCAGGCAGCACAAAGGCCCAGGGGCTGACGGACAGGAGAGTCAGAGTTTCCCCTGCAGTTAGCATGGATCTGTTTACACATTCTGGAGGGTTTTGCAATCCCCAGGAAGAGAAGGGAATCTTTGATGTGTCTTTTCATTTGACCAAAAATGGATGGAGTAGAATCCCAGCCCCTCAGCAAGGCCATCAAGAAATTCAGCAGCACCGAAGGGTGAATTTTTACATCTCATTAAATCATAAAGGCTCCTATACTGCCCTTCAAGGATGGTAGCAGGGAGGGAGAAAACCACCAATACAGAAATCCTCAGTGTAAGCTGGCTTTCTCCTAGTAAACAAAACCAAACAAAAACCTTGCTGTCCTTTATGGTGACTGGAGGATGAGATTGGATGATCCCAGTTGCTTTGGATGAGAAACCAGGGGATCAGGGGCTTGTGGGCAATGAGAAGATGAGCAG